CTTCCATGCATGTTACAGTGGGGTTTATGAACCTGAGTGTCCCAGATCATAGTCTGACACTCTAACCATCACCCCATACTGTTTTTATCTAAAATGCTTAATCAGAAAGGGTAATCATAAATGAACCTTTGTGAATCTCAAGACAATTTGCAGTATATAAGATTCAAGGCTACTGTCAAAGTCCTCTTGGGACTGATTTGTCGGTTGCTTGTAACAGTTTTTCTAAGTGCTGAACAAAACTTCTAGAAACAAGGGCAATGAGGGATTATTTCATAATTAATTAAATATGTTTTGCATATACATCAGAAATGGATCATATAAATGGGTATTGATGAATAAGATATTCTATAGAGATAACCTATTTGATATCTTAGGTGAATATACATTAAGTCTGTTCTGTGTAAACATCCATTGAGATTAAAATAAGTGGGGATTGATAATAAATGGAATGCTGAGTTTCACAATGAGGCGTTTATTTATGTTTTTATGTTATCTGCCCCCCCAAATAATGAAATGTGAATCAAGCACTATTTGCAATTTTTAGTGTTGTTTTTCTGCGCAAAAGGAACAAAAGTGAATAGATGGGAGGCCAGGAGCCATGAATTGTCATCATTAGTGTAGCAGGTCTTAAGATAAGACTGTTTATTTAGTCTAGTATACAATTCAAAAATGCTATGGTGACTTGAGACCTAGTCTTGCAAAAAATTTTAAAGGGTTATGTTGAAAAGAAAATTGAAAGATTATCACTCAATCCATGGCATAGGGCTAAAGAAATACAATGTTTTGGAGTCCATTTTTGAATACTGCTGTTCAACAGTGCAATTTTAACAAAGTTACACCCTGCTTGAGGGTACTTTGGATTCTGCTTAGAATTTCATTGTAAATCCCATTGAAGGTCATGGGACTTAAAAACTTGTTCTCTGATTTACTTATGATTACTCTAATCTATTTGTGAGCAACTAATTGCACATAACAACTGGTGGCTCGAGGTAATAAAACACATTTCCATATGTGTTAAAAGGGCAACCAGACAGTTGGGGATGCAAATTCAGAGGTGCATTAAGGTCTACATGAGCTGAAGTCTTCTTTTACATAAAAATCTGGCTCATTGAGCTGGGGCAATAGTAATGCAGACAAAAATCTCAAAATTTTCTGATTACAGACTGACCAGAAAAATCACAATTCTACATGGCTATACATGTAAAAATTACTCGGTATTTTTGAAGAACCAAGACAAAAACTAAGATGTACCTCCATATGTAGTTCAAGGTTCATCCTTCGGCGAATATATTATCATATATTTTAATAAGGCCTTACAGTGGCACCTCATACTTTACGACTATTTTACAACTTTACAACAAATTTACCCTCACTCATGTGTCTCCTGAAACAAAGTCACACTTCTGAGAAGGAACCACTGCATCCTGATGGGCAAACTTATTAGACCAACGTATCATTTGTCCAACCCTTACAAGAAGATCCAAGAGTAGGGATTCTACCTTTATTGGCACTTCATAGCAACAAATGCTGCAGTTCTATATGTGTTTAGCAACATGCTTCCATTACAATTCATTTCACTTGCACAGAACTTGAAAACAATTATTTCACAATTAGGTGGCATCTGCAGCTTCAAAGCATTGTTCTTTGACAGTGCTCAGTTTCTTACTCCAAATCTGTCTCCTTTCCACATACATTAGATAAGAACACTCTATCTGTACCTAAACCCCGAAGCAGATGAAGTAGCTCAACAACCGTGTCCATTTTGCAGTGAGAGAGTTAAAATCCAATGCCTGTTTAGTCTGTCTTGTCATCACAGAGGGTACTTTGAGGGCAAAAGTGTTTTTTGTTTTCTCTAAAAGAGGAACATACACTGGCAGAAATTGTATTCATTCCAACACTAAAGCTACCCCCCCACAAATCATCCCCAAATAAATGTATACATAAATCCAAAAAGTAACAGACATAAAGCAGAGGAAGGAATGACAAATGTGTTGGCAGAACTAACATGGTAAAGCAAAATAGTAACACCTGGCCAATGCCAGGAGTAAATATCTAATTGCCCGGTGTGGGTCAAGGGGTGTTAGCGTAGTCCCTACTCATAGTCATCCTGCCTGACATCACACATCCAGGGTCAGTTCCGCTTTGCCATCACCTCAAAGGTGTCTGGGAAAGATGGTCCCTCAAACAATTCCTACACCATACACAGTTTGGATTTTGACACAGAGAAGCAAGACTCCTTCCATGCAGAAAGTACTTTATGGGACTGAATGGTGAGGGACCATCTTTTGGCTACATGGTCACAGACACCTGGCTGTCCACTTCTTGTGCAGCATCAAGTCTGCCCATCTACTGTGTGAGAGGCAGGGGAAGGGGGATAAGAAGTTCCACCTACATCATGATTGTGCGTTTGGTGGAGCAGAAGAGTGCAGTGCAGGATGTTGGCTCCACCATGACCATCCTACATGGGGAAGAGGAGCTCCAATGACTGGCTGACCCTCTCCAAAATTGTGCATGTTCTTAAGCCCATCCAGGACACCACCAAAGTACTGTGAACCCATACAGCCAGCCTGGGGCAAGTCATCCCCCTGATTTGAGGGCTGGACTAGGCGCCAACCTCCGCACTGGAGCTGGCTGTTCTCCCACAGGTCAGAGCCTTGGCAGGGAGGTTGCAGGTGAGCATTTAGCTGAGAGAGAATTGGTCAACTCAGATGTAATGAAAAATGTGGTTTATTTTTATTGTATTTGGTGCAGGTGCCTGTGGAAGACAGGGGAGGACAAGTCTTGGGGGTTTGTGCCCCTCAAGGAGGCACAGATGCTTTCTGGCACTGGGCTGGGAGGGGCCATGGAGGGGTGTACTTGAGGTGGGAGTAGCAACAAGAAGTTGGGATGTGGAAGGGGGACAATGCTTCCCCCCACCCTCTGAAGCAGAGTCTTCCGTTCCAAAGAGTGTTAGCAACTGCTGGTGTCTCTGGGCAGTGCTAACAATTCTTTTGCCTTTGTGGAGAGCCCCAGGAATAGATCAGGGGAAGGAGGATTTGAGACCCCTGTTGAAGCCCTCCTAGGACTGGGCTCCAGTGGCCTGGCAGGAGGAGTTTGGTGCCCAGGGACAGGGGCCTGTGGTATGCAGGGGGTGGAGAACTTCTTCCTTCCATGACGAGCACCTGTTGCACCCACTTTCACCCTCATAAGCACACAGAGGTGTTCACACTCAGGAGGGGTGGGAGGGTATAAATGTGGGAGGCCTTTTCTGAGGGACCCCAGAAAGTTAATCCACCCTTAACTTGGAGAGATTATAGAGGAGCTAAACCTAATATCTTAACATCCAATACGGCAGCACCTCTAGAGGCGCATCTGTTACTTAGGAACATACTTGAAATAGTCCCTGTGCATTATTTCAGTGTATGAACAATCCATAGTCACCCGGGACTAAGAACTTCCGCAGAAACAACAACCAAGATCCTGCCACTGGTGCCTGATAGGTAGTCATTTCCCCTCAATGTGTGGCCCTAGTGAGGTAGTGTAATTAAAATTGTACTGTGTAAACCGCTCAGAGCCCTTCGGGGGTTGAGCGGTCTAGAAATCGAAAGTTAAATAAATAAAAATAAATAAACACTTGGTTGGGCAAGAAACTGTACACAGGCTTTCTTTATTATGCAAGACAGTTTGCATCACTAATCACTTAAAATGGAAAACTCTGATTTCCCCTGAGAAAAAAAAATCTAGTATTTATATAGCTACATATTAACATTATTATTTCCAAAGAAATAGAAGCAACTGAATTATTTCCATTATTTTATAACTGACAAGGACACAAAAAAATCAACATCAAGTTTTAACACTACTTCCATTCAAACTGGAGAGCCAGTTTGGTGTAGTGGTTAAGTGTGTGGACTCTAATCTGGGAGAACTGGGTTTGATTCCCCACTCCTCCACTTGCACCTGCTGATGTGACCTTGGGTCAGTCACAAGCTCTGGCACAGCTGTTCCTGAAAGAGCAGTTTGTGTCAGAGTTCTCTCAGCCCCACCCACCTCACAGGGTGTCTGTTGTGGGGAGGGGAAGGGAAAGGAGTTTGTAAGTCGCTCTGAGACTCCAAGTGAAGGGTGGGGTATAAATCCAATCTCCTCTTCCTCTTCCTCTTCTTCTTCTTCCATTCAGTGGGTCCTGTGTGGAGAATCTCACTGGAATGAATGGAAGCTGCACAACAGCAGTGTTCTCAGGATTGCTCCCAGTATTACAAAACATGGTTTATGCAATACAAAGTGTTAAGGGCCACTCATCTGATGGGTGTGCTCTGGACCTGTGTGTTCCAGTTGTGGGAATGCTTCCCTTGCTTGTGCGGTATGGCTAGGGGGCCTGTCAAACTGTCATAGAGTTACTATGGGGAGCCCCTGTTGGAACTCTGAGGATTACTGTCTTTCTGTCATTCAGAACTTGCCTTTTGAGACTGGAAGAGGCTGTGAATGTAAGGGGGATGCCTGCCTTGCTTCCAGTGTCTGGCTGGAATGGGGAGTCTGCCCAGGTGAAGTTTCCCTGTGAGTTTGATGTCACTAGCCAATCGAGGTGTTATCACTGCCATAAGTGGGTTGACAGCTGCATGCTTTTGGGAAAAAAATCATTGAGCAGTGCTCTTGCACATGTACAACGGAAATGGATGTAGCAATCCTTGGGGATAGAATAGTAAAATTTTGGTAAAATGGAAATGAAGTACAAAACTTTAGGTAGACTGAAAAATAATTAAGCATGTATCAATATTGTATTATTTCCAGTGAATGAAAGATCTTTTCACTTTGATAGCCCATTAATTATTATTTCTGGAAACTTTGTCAGTTGCTGTAAGGCTATTTCTTTCTTAGCAAAGTAGTACCGCTGAATAGCCTACTGTGTGCACCATTCTGTGAGTTAATGCAAAAAAACTGGTATTTACATTCTTCAATATAAATACAGAATAAGAAGATACAGATGACAAATAGGCTATAGATAACAAAAAGCATCAACTTACCATCTTGATCTGTGGTAACTGTGATAGCTGTAAACTGTTTAGGTGAAAAACTTAATTCCGAGACTCCATTCATGGCTTCTATTTCAAAAGTGTAGTTCACATGGGACACAAAATCAAGCACAGTCACTGAGGAGTTAATTAAACCAGTGTGTCTTGGAACGAAACGGATCCCTCCTCCACAAATTTCACACTGGCTGGCATCAGACCCACATTTTTTACAAATAACACTGTAGGTAAGGTCTTTTCTTCCTCCTGTGTCACTTGGTGGGCTCCATTCCAACAACAGCGCTGTTTCATTTATGTTAAAAATAACATTCCTTGGAGCAGAAGGTGGTCCTGGGGGAGGGGGGGGAAACAGTTCTTACTACAGCTAGTATGCAGGTTTTTAAAAAAACAAATACAGACATTACTGTTCAGTGATGGAGACATTTTTTTTTTAAGTGATGGAGACATTTTCAATGTACTAAATATACAATTCAGATATTGTGAGATACAAAAGAAAAAAACCCTGCCTTCTTTTTGGCAAGAAGTATGGCAAGAGGAAGCTAACTTGTTCATGCTACTTCTCTTGCTGTCTCCCTAAAATGTGCAAAAAGGCTCACAGGAAGTCAGGAGAGAATCAGAATGGAATAAAGTCATTTTTCAAGGTAAGCAATTCAGGTAGATTCAGGATGGCACTTTGAGGACATGTATACCAGACAAAGCAAGACATTTGATACTGATAAACTAAAAGACCAGTTCATAGCACAGAGGAGCTATCATGAATAAATTGAGGACTTCAGTGAAACACTATGGCATACATTAGTGCTGATTACCATCATCAGAACCCACAAAGCATTTGCATTAGTGATGCTAACTAAGTGTGACTGGAGGTGGGGTGGTTGGAAATACAACTGTGCCCTCCCAACTAAAAACAAAAACAAAAAACCCTCATTTAATTTCAAATAGGGTCAACTCCTGCCCTTTCCAGACCCTGCCTTCCCAGGCTTCACCCCTAAAATACCCAGGTATTTTCCTACCCAGAGCTGGCAACCTTAAGAAGGGTAAGAAAACTACAAAGTGTTTGATAGGGACACTCACAGAAGGCAGTTTGGGCCAGCAGGGTATGTTTATCCATTGATAATCAGAACTATATTTAATGAAACTGGTGATGAACATCTGAGATTATCTTACTTACTGGAATGTAGATGATTATTTTAAACCCCTCATACAACTACCTGCAGGAGTATAACATTTATTCATCCAAAGGCCAAGTTTCATGGTACAATTTTCATCTGTGCCATTATGAGCAGAGAATTTATTGTTAACTAATGGGTGAATAATTGACACTTTGATCCCAATCTGATAGGGTTGCCAAGTCAAATTTTCTTACCTGCGGGGGAGCCTCACCGGGCTCCGGGAACCGTTCTTTGATATGCGTGCGTGCGCCACCAGCACGTCACTGGAAGTGATGCACAACATCGATCACGTTGAAGGCGTGGCCCCGATCGTCGGAGGGAAAACCATAGAGTTTTCCCTCCGATGATCAGGGCCATGCCCACAACGTGATTGACGTGGTTGCGGCACCTCTGGTGACGCAGCCACACTGCGCTTCGGGGGCGGAGTTCCCCCCGGGGCACAATTCCCCGGCGGCGGAAATCGGGCCTCCGAAGCGGGGGTTTACCCGCCCCCACTTGGCAGCCCTACAATCTGAACATGTACTAAGTAGCTGGGTTATATACACACAGTCCCCTCCTTGCAGTTAGCCCTTTGGCAAAGAGCAGGTAGCAGTCCTTCTCTCTACCTCCTAAACAATGCAATTCCAGTATTTTAACTTTTTAAAAAGGAAATTTTGCACACAGCTCCAGCTGTTAGATTAAGGGGGGGGGAGCCTAGCACATTAATAGTAATGCCCCTATTTCTCTGCCCAGCTAGGAATATGTGTGCAGAAGCTTGGCTCATGCACATAGTGCCCCTTACCCTAATTAGAGCAACAATGACTGCAGATAGAATTGGGCTACTTGTCTGGATAAAAAATGTATTGTCAAAACCAATCTTTAGTTTCCAAGCATTACAGGGGGCAGCTTTATGCTATCTTTAAAAAAATATATATGTTTAGTTCTATACAGATTATATCTGATGAGAGAGAACAGCTATGCAATAATTATTTTTTCCTTTTGGTATATTTTATGATTACTAATAATTTTATGTAGAAAAGCAATGCACACAGGATTTGGGATTTCATTCATAACAAAGATATGATTTATTATGTGTTGATATTGCTATGAATAGGAAAATTGCTATCAATTGAGGTAGGAGTGCTTGAAAGTTTATGTCTGCCTGCAGATACTGAAGAAATAGACACCGTTCATACTCAAGGGCTCTCATGCCAATTTGCATGACAATTAAATAGGTTTTTAATTGCCATTAAATTATGCCATCTAAACTGTGATTTCATGCAAATATTAAGCTGTAATGACATGCAGTGAATCATTTACTAAGATTTAGAACTTGGAATAAAGAGAGACAATTAATTCTAATCCTTGGATTCTGCTAAATTAGGTGTCATTGGGATTTTTATGAATGTGGCCTGATTGCTTTGTTATCACTTATAAATTATGCATAGATTATATGCCAAAATGGGGGTGGGGTGGGACTGGCAACCATAACCCTTTTTTTTGCAGACATCTCTGTGTAATATACTCAGGAATTTCCTTGTGCCATATATTTTATTTAGGAAAGCAAGTGCACTAATGACTGTAAATTATTAATATATTTTGACTACAGATGGAGAATGTTGTAACCATGCCAGTTTTGTGTAATAAGGGTCTAATAATGAAGCTGGCACTAGTGGCCAGGCCAGGAGAAGGAACGGGAGAAGGGGAATCAGCTGGTTGAAGAACAAGGCAAGTAGACAGAATGCGAGCTGCAGCTAGTGGGGAAGAGAAGCAAGCCAGCTACTGGGGAAGAATGAAGTTAGACCTGCTGCTGCTGCTGCTGTTGCTGGTGGTGGTGGTGGGGTGCGTGTGGGATGAGTGGATCAGCTACAGGGAAGGGGGGAAATGAGATTTCCCTTCCTCCGCAATTCCTTATGATTCCCCTCCCCACTTTGTACCAAGAAAATATCCAGTAAGGCAGAATATAGTTGCACAGTTCAGCAATAGGTATATAATTCCTTGTTTAACATGTTTTATGGAAAAACATGCATTGCCAATATCCCAGAGAGTAACACTGAGCTCACCCAGGCACTTTTGAGTACCCACGGGATATCTAATATTTTTCTCTGAGCAGGATACTCTATTCTGTGCCTCAAGATGAAATATCTTTAAAATTGGTATGCTATGTTTGGTTTTCATGAAACAAAAGTCCAAAGGACAGCTGGTTCTCTGATTAGCAAAAAAAAGCAGTAAGTATGGCTGCTTATGACTCGGAGAAAGGATGGGGTCTCCCAAGCAAGGCACCAGACAAGGAATCCACTTGTTGACACCAACTTTGGAGAAGGGAATATGTAATACAGCACTCACTTCAAATCAGCAAATGTATGAAGTTGTGGGATTATTTCAACCCAAGCCATGTCTTCTAGAGTCAATGTACCAATCCATTTACTATTCTAGGTCCAAATAGGTATCTGGGTCATAGACAGGTGTAACTCCTCCATTACTCCACTATACTAGAAAATGCTACCTAAGACAGGAGATATCTCCCTACATGGGGAGATGACTTGAGGGAACAAGGGGGAAGGTACATGTTTTCTAGCCACAGCCTACCAAAAGGAGTTTTTGATCCAGACTTCCAGGCATCTTCTTATGTTAAGTATTAAAATTCTTGTCATTTTAGTTCTGTAATTTGTGTTTCGGTACTTGTCGTTTTGGTTCTATAACAGCTTGAATGTTGGCCAAAGTATATTGACCCTTGTATTGGGTTCTGTAGAAGAAATTTCAAATGCCATTTTAAACTGTTGGATTGTATTACTTGCCAGGTGGGACTGCCTTTAGGGATAGCTGATGGAATTGGAATAACTTAATTTTTTTTTAACTAGTCATTTAATGATTAATGCCCCATTTTGAAGTCTAAGAAAAATGTAATTGATACAAATGCTAGAGGTTTCAAACATACCTGAGTATGATTGTCAACTGTCCTCTTTGGGATATATTAATTTTTATATATGTCAGGATGTTATTTTGGATGCTAATAAGCGTGAAGATAGCACAGTGATGTAGTATTTATTTGTCAGAAATGTTTTGTTTGTTATTATATCAATGTATGTTTCATACAAGGTTATTTTTATATACACATTATATTTATTGGCCCCCAAATTTGAAATTCATGGTTCTTGAATGAACAACTGAGGTTTTATTAATGCTTTATCCAGGACTATTTTAAAGCCACTTCAGATTAAGGAACATTTTTTTACTTTTATAAAGGAGCACTGGGAATAAGCAAAAACCTGATTTGCATCCTTGATTAATAAAAACATGCTCTCATGCTTTAGTTTTGTGAGTGGAATATAAAATAGGTGCTATTTTTTATCTGCTGAAATAACGAGAGCAGCCAGGGAAGAATTTCAAACACCAGTATGGATCAAACTTACGGGTACATGCCATAGTTGGTGGATCCTTCTCAGCCCGAAAGTAACCTTTTTCACACTGACACACAGATGTTGCTTCTATGAAAGTCTGACTATGTGGAGGGCACTTGGAGCATTTTATATTCCCAGCAAATGCTTTATAGAATCCTGACCTGCAAGCTGTAAAAACAAAAACACAAAATAGATATTTTTAAAAAGCTATCTACATGGGGGAAATTGTTTCCAACATTCCATTTTACTCTCCTAACATTCCATCATGCCCCAGCATGACCAAGAAATGGGATAATGGAAGGGCTATACATATAAGAACTTGCTTGATTTTCAATGAATGTGATCAAAAGGGATGAAGAGAAGGCTCACCACTCCCCAGTGTATGCCTTTTCTTTCTCATGTGAAAGGGAACAGCAGTTTTTCATTCATACAAGAAAGAGTAAAATATTTCAACTGGAACACAGTGGCAACAAATTTAAAAAAACCTGACTTCCACCCATGATGACTATTTTTTCCATATGCCGTCATACAAAATCGGATACTCCATGGGAGATCTGGGTAGCTCCTCAAGGACAGGATCCCTGTAGCCTAGGCTATGTTGATCTATATCTGGGTGGTTAGACATCTGAGAGAATCCCATTGTAAAGTAAGAAATTCAGGAAAATCTAATGTTTGCCTGCCTGCTAGTATACCTTATAGCTATTCATTAGTTACTTGTACTAGGAAGGACTAGATTTTTCTAGAGAGATGTTGCTTCTTCAATGAGCACACTTCTGAAATTAGGTTTCCAAGAACATTATATGAAAATATGGCATGCAGTTTTAACTCTACTCATACCCTATATACTCCAGAAAATAATATGAAGTCTATATATATCTAGCTAGCCATAGTATGGATTAGTTTAGCTACAGTAAACATTACAGTGTGACACAACCTTTAGGTAGAAGCTGGTAGCCATTACACATAATGGACATTTGATCCATATTGTAATGTCCATGTGAATTTGTAATGATCACACAAGACAGGGACGGATACTGTCAAAACAGCCTTGATGAAAGCAACCTAAAACGATTATGCCGCAGGACCTGGTCAGGCTTTGGGACTAATACAGCCAGGGGTCTTGTTGTAGAAAAAGAGCTGCCGGAGCTCATTAGCATAACTCATTAGCATAACTTATTTGCATATGCCACGCCCCCTGACATCACCGGAAGTGACAGAAGGCCACACCCCCTGACATCACCGGAAGTGTGTCAGAAGGCCCGGCTACTTACCCTCCTGCTTCATCCTCATTCCCAAACGGAATGAGGATCGAAGCAGAGGGCGGGGTAAAGAAGGGGGCGGGGCTTCACCACGTGACCGCCCCGCCCCCTAGAGGTTCTCTTCCGGAGCTCCGTACCTGAGAGCTCCCCCCCGACTAGAGCCCTGAATACAGCTTGACATTTACCACTGTATCTTCTTGATCTATAAATCTGAAAGAGTTTTATAAAACGTTTTAGCCACAAGGATGGCAAACCATACATGTGCAAATACAGTTTACAGTTTTCTTTCTGGATACAACATTTGTCTTGGTTATGTTTAGCTGTTAAAAACAAAGTTGAACTCCTACCCATTGGCTGTTTTGGATGAGTAAGGAATCCCTCCTGCTCCTCTTTCTCTGTCAAACAGATGATTGCCACGGGGCAGCTTTTTCAACAGGGCCGTGTCCACATATCCACAGTAGCAGTGCGTGGGCTGTGTAATATCAGAGCCCTATTAGACTTTTCATCCAGAAAGAAATAACCTTGGGGAACGCAGGCAGATGGGAGGGGGAACAACATGTTGTTGTTTCCGGTCAGGGAAACACATGTGCAAATGCTTCTGATAGTTAGATAGCTACTAAAATGTAACACGTGTAAATACATGCAATTTGCTTCTTTGTGAATTGTATATTTCATAAATATCCATGGCATATGTTCTCTAATATGTGTTTCCAGGAGTCCAGCTTACAGGAATCACTCAAACATCTGATCGGTGGCCTGTACTACAAACAGAAGCTGATAAAGGGGAAACTCTCTGAACAGGACATTTGTACAAGGAATCAACCTGCTTGGCATATTTCCACAAGAAAAGACAAGCCATCTACTGCTCTCAACTGGGGTTGCTGAAGCAATTTAAAAAACTCACTAACCTGCAGGCTGCTAATCTTAACAACAAGAAACCCTCCAACAATATTGTCACAGCACAGACTCAACCCAGCAGAGGAATCAGTTCTTTCATGTGGACTTTCATGCTGCCCACCAAATGAACACAGATGATTTAGTTCTGCAGGGACCTGGAAGACTTTTTCCTGCCATCTACGCCTAAAGGAGTATTCTCAACGTACCCAAAAACAGAACAAGAAAGAACAGGCAGCATCTTCACAACATTACCATCACACAATCTACTGGAGAATGGTTACCATCTCTCCAACCCACCAATGTACAAGATACTTACCACCACATGCCATCAAAACAACACTACAAAAAAAGAGACTCCACATGGACCCCTCCTGATGGTTGTAATGCCACACTGGATCTCTATACAGAATGCTTTCACAGTAGGGTTCAAACTGATGTGATCAACAAACAACATTACGAACAGCAGAATCTCAACCATGCTGAAAGGAAGGCCATAAAGATGTCTAACAACTTAAATATTATAATTAAAAGGGCAGACAATGGTGGAACCATTGTCATCATGAATAGATCAGACTACATTTAGGAAGCTCAAAGACAACTCTCAAATACTGCTTGTTACAAACTACAGAACTCAGAACCCACACAGGAATACAAGAAAGAACCAAACAAGATTATAAAGGGATTACCCCTGCAAATTCAGGAACAAATCCTAGAATCCTAGAATCATAGAGTTGGAAGGGACCTCCAGGGTCACCTAGTCCAACCCCCCACACAAGGCAGGAAATTCACAAATACCTCCCCTCCCACACCCACAGTGACCACTGTTCCGTGCCCAGAAGATGACAAAAAACCCTCCAGGATTGCTTCCTGACCCCAAAGTGACAATCAGCATTTCCCTGGGTGCATAAATAAGGGCCACAAGCACTGAGGCAACCCTTCCTGCCCTCCCTCTCATGATCTGCCTAAGTTCACAGAATCCACATTGCTATCAGATGGCCATCTAGCCTCTGTTTGAAA